CACACTGATAAAACGTGGCTACAGTTGACACACTGATAAAACGTAGCTACAGTTGACATAGAGAGAGAAAACGTGGCTACAGTTGACACACTGATAAAACGTGGCTACAGTTGACACACAGAGAGAAAACGTGGCTACAGTTGACACACTGATAAAACGTGGCTCTAGTTGACACACTGATAAAACGTGGCTACAGTTGACACACTGATCAAACGTGGCTACAGTTGACACACTGATAAAATGTGGCTACAGTTGACACATTGATAAAATAATGTGGCTACAGTTGACACACTGATAAAATAATGTGGCTGCAGTTGACACACTGATAAAATAATGTGGCTACAGTTGACACACTGATAAAATAATGTGGCTGCAGTTGACACACTGATAAAATAATGTGGCTACAGTTGACACACTGATAAAATAATGTGGGTACAGTTGACACACAGAGAAAACGTGGCTACAGTTGACACACTGATAAAAAGGGGGCTACAGTTGACACACAGACAAAATGTGGCTACAATTGACACACTGATAAAATATGGCTACAGTTGACACACTGATAAAATATGGCTACAGTTGACACACAGAGAGAAAACGTGGCTACAGTTGACACATTGAGAGAAAACGTGGCTACAGTTGACACACATATAAAATGTGGCTACAGTTGACACACTGAGAGAAAACCTGGCTACAGTTGACACACTGATAAAACGTGGCTACAGTTGACACACTGATAAAATGTGGCTACAGTTGACACACTGATAAAATGTGGCTACAGTTGACACACAGAGAGAAAACGTGGCTACAGTTGACACACAGACAAAATGTGGCTACAGTTGACACACAGAGAAAACCTGGCTACAGTTGACACACTGGGAGAAAACGTGGCTACAGTTGACACACTGAGAGAAAACGTGGCGACAGTTGACACACTGATAAAAAGCTGGCTACAGTTGACACACTGATAAAATGTGGCTACAGTTGACACACAGAGAAAACCTGGCTACAGTCGAGACACAGAGAAACGTGGCTATATCTGACACACAGACAAAACCTAACACACATACAGAACATGGCTACATTTGACACACAACCTGACACACAGACAGAACGTGGCTATATTTGACACACAGACAAACGTGGCTACATTTGACACTCAGGCAAACGTGACTACAGTTGACACACAGACAAAATAATGTGGCTACAGCTGACACAGAGATACAA